GCCGAGTGAGTCATAGCGCCTGAAATTATTTCTTGGACGTAGAATTTAACGATCTTCCGCATCCGTTGCGAGTAATGACGAACGCGATGTTAGAAAACCCCGTTACTCGTTATGTTAGAAAACGGTTTCTCTAATTCCGCTCCGCGATTTATCAGTCTCGTTTATTGTATAAAGGAGATCGGAAACGTCACTCAGCCTTCTATAGATATTCGTTTTCCATCTGCCTCGTTAATGCCTCGTTCGCCTGGAGCGGAGGGACTTCACCTGCGTGAAGTTAGCACCCCATTTTTGAAATTTTAAAATTCTAAAGGTTGTTCCAGGTTGTTCTACACTTGTTCTAAATTGTTCCAAAACATCAAATTTATATTATAAAAATTTTCGCGGAAAATTAAAAAATACAATTTTTTGACCTGGCACCCCATTTTTCAAAAATCGAACTTTTCAAGGTTGTTCCATGTTGTTCTAGTTGTTCTAAACATTGTTCCAAAGTATTAGTTTGATCGGTTAAAAACTTTAAAAGATATTGAAAAAACAAGAATTTAAGAAAAAAACATTTTTGGCCATTTTCTCATAAACAAAACAACTTACATAATTGTCGGTTTAGAACATATTTATAACCGCGTAGAACAACTCAGAACAAAATTTTCAAGACCAGAACAACAACATAAAGCCTACTTTACTCTTCATCGAAAAATTTTATTTTTCGATTTTCTTGGGTAAAAACCTAATTCCAGGCTTCTCGCCTTAAAACTATCGTATTCTCGACTAGAACAACCGGGAACAAAATTTTTAAAACCAGAACAACAATATAAGGCCCACTTTACTCTTCACCGAAAAATTTTATTTTTCGATTTTCTTGGGTAAAAACCTAATTCCAGGCTTCTCGCCTTAAAACTATCGTATTCTCGACTAGAACAACCGGGAACAAAACTTTTAAAACCAGAACAACAATATAAGGCCCACTTTACTCTTCACCGAAAAATTTTATTTTTCGATTTTCTTGGGTAAAAACCTAATTCCAGGCTTCTCGCCTTAAAACTATCGTATTCTCGACTAGAACAACCGGGAACAAAATTTTTAAAACCAGAACAACAATATAAGGCCCACTTTACTCTTCACCGAAAAATAAAAAAAAAAAAAATATTATACGAGTATTTCTTCATTTTTTCATATATTGTGTATATTTTAACATACAGATAAAATTTAATTATAAACAATTTAAATACTTTTGTATTACTCATAAAATTCTTATATATCAGCATTCTTTCGAAAAATTATTATTGGATATGTGTTTTTTTCTATTGTATTTTTATTAGTTAAATAAATTATTTTATATTTTTTTTAAGTATTTTTTTAAAATTAGATACGAATGTTTCTGATATAAAAAAACTGCGATTGACGTATATCTGAATTTTCCTATCACATCGTTTATAAATTTTAAATAATTGTCAAGAAACTCGTGTCAAGAAACAATCTACAGGCGCTGAAAGTATTCGCATTAGAAGAGAAGCTTTAAGCGCTCCGAGAAGGAGCTCGGGCGCCGCCAATAAAGAGGTAGACTAAAGACAAAAGTCTTTTGCTCGATTTTTCGCTGGCCGCGGGTAACACCTGCGTGCAGAAAAGTTAAGTCTCTTTGCGAAGTGAAGTCTTTTGCGGGGGTCCCCGCCACTTTTCCGCGGCGCGCGGGGAAAGAAATCGAGGGAAATATCCTCGGTTAAACTTCCACCGCGAGTATGAACTTGCTACTCAGGAAGATTCGTCATCGTCCAACTCGACCTTCTTTCTCTCTCCCGCCAATGGCTGCCGAGACTACTTCAATCCCCTTCTCCCCTCCCCCGTCCCCGTGTCGCCGACGATATAAGAACTTTTCGTTACCCGGCAAAATTTTTATTAACGTCGTGATTCCTCTGGGAGTGAGTCTCGTAAAAAGAGATGTAACTGCGATTATCGTTGGCTCGTTCGAAAAATGATACGCGTCGTAGCGAAAGATTTGCTGCCGCGGAACTTTTCCGAGAGCGAAGTGAACCAAGTAATAGGACGGCTTGTGGAGGCTTTCATTCACTTTACGTTGTACGAGTGATACGTTATCATCAGCGATACGAAATCCGATAACGGCGATATTGCGTTCGAGAAAATTGAAGTTTCCGCGATGTTACAAGACCTCTAATCACGATATCTTTTGAACAAATCTTGTAACAATACAAATTTCATAGATTTGCCGAATACGATTGATATAAATCAATAAGAATAAATGTTTTAAGCACATATTAATTTAGATGCGTAAATTTCTTTCTTGTCAAATAAAATCATTCTCTTTTCTATTCATAAAACTATAAAAAAAATGCTAAAAGTAAAATAAATTTTACATTGAATGTTCTTATGAATGAGTTTGTATCTCGAAATGAGAAATTATGATTTATCTATTGTGTTTATACTTAACGTATTTAAAATAAATTTATTAAACATATTTAATGCATTTCTCGTTTATAATACGTAAATTACCTCCCATTTTTTTCTATCATTTAATATATTTCTCTCATATCGTTTTTGCTACGCTTTTAATATGCGATACCATGTTTCCGAATAATGGATATGTTTCTGTCGGAAAATCTGGACCGTGAATTCATAAAGCGACGAATAAAATCTATGTATATTATTAACATAAAATGTATCTATTATAAAACACTACAATTTAATTTCAATTAATTTCTTCTTACAGCTTATTGCCACAGTAGAAATTCTCTGGCATCCCTCTGCTCGTATATTACGGGCGATGCGTTGCTATACTCTATGTTTCGCGAGGAGGCATCTCCCGTAGCGTGCCCTTTTCGCGGACCCATGACCTTCTCGTACAACCGGGGCCACGGTACGTGTTCGAATCCGCCGAGCAACGTCGACACCTGTACAGATGACAGCAGACTTCTCTTCAAGTACCAGGCCTGCCCCGATGTATCCGCTTCGGAGAGTGCAGGTAAGATATTGTTTGTTTATCGAAAGCTTTATCTGTCTTCTATAAGAGAACTAACTCTGTCTATGTATTAGAGGACTGCCGGAAGAAGCTAACGTTGCAAAAATAAAGGTCCGCGATCTTTGAATCATAACATTGAGAAAAAAATGTTTAATTAAAAACATGCTTCTTGAGAAATCACGGTGCACTTTTTTTATTGATAATTTTATAGCTTACAGAAAAAGTAAATAAATGTATAGTAGTTGTGTAAACTTACACAAAAATTACAAGGTACTGTTGAGTCTCAGAAAGTCTATGACGAAAAAAGAACAAGTACAGGACGTCTATGCTTTTTTCACTCTCTCCCCTCTTTCTCTTTCTATCATCATGCACTCTCTTTTTATCTAGCTACATTCTTTGACAAATCTAGCGCACATTTTGCTTTAACAAAAATATTACCAATAGTTTTTCCATTATATATTCAATAAAAATAAAAGTCTAAAGTATTAAAAATTAAAAGTCCCTGTATCTTTTTATGAATGAATTTCACATTTATATACTATTAAACATATGTGAGAGTATGTTTTTATATAAAATTTTATTTATTGTATAACATATTTGTTTTACAAGAATGTTACTTTGAAACATTCGATGTATTACGAATTATGTAAATACGATGCGTGTAATCATATTATTACCCAAATTATGTTAATACTTTCCTTTTATAATCTATATGCTCTTTGATACAACGCGATATAATATTTTACATAATTTATAATAACGTAATGAGTGTTGCACAACGAAATTTTAGCCGCGTTTTGTGTCGAATATTCTGTATTTTCATATTATTATAGCATTCTCATTTTCTGTTACATAAATTTAAATAAAATACCAGCTCGTAGGACACCCGACAGCAGTCGAGTAAAATCTTAGTTTAAAAGCCTAATCGATGATTAATTGGCACAGTTTAGTGTGAGTAGTGGAGCTTATTAGCGTGATTGGTCTCGTGCGAGTAGTCACTTCGGCCACCCCGATAGATCGCTGATCGCTCCATCAGTTTGCATATCTTGCGCGCTTCAATTAAACACTTGTTACTCGATGGATTCGCATTTAATAGCGTGACGCAGTGAGATTAAATTTGTAGTCAATATCGGGTTTGTATATCTACTTTTGGCTGACATGTGTTCGATTTAATATATTACAGTATATAATCGATGCTGCCGAGATATATAGTCCACTTCGAATCTATCATAGCGTTGTCAATTATAACAAGTTATATTGTAAAATGTATGGACGATATCTAAATATTCATCAATCCTATCGATCCTGCTATTAGAATGGCTATCACTGCCACAAATAGGGAATAACAAAATAGAATATTCATTTTACGAATATCTAATTAATGATTACATCAAAGAAAAGTAGCAACGTACTTTTGTGCTCGCGTTATATTTGGATATTTAAATTACTCTGAATTAAAATATTTATTCGTAAAGTCGTCCATGGTGCTTTTTGCAAAATAATTTGCATTTGTACACATGCTGCAGCTATACGTTTCAAAGAAAATCCAACATGTTAAAAAACTTGCATACATGTGTATTATTTCGTGTGATTACATCGTGATTACAGCTACAGTTTCATGTTTTATCACGAAAAAGATTCTGGATTTTTCTCTTTAAAATATAAAATTATTAATGGACCTCTTATGCGATTGCTTCTCGGAAGAAACAGAATTTCAAATCAATGAGTTCTCCGAAAAAAGAAAAAAAAAATTGAAACTTTGATGTTGCAATTTTTTTACAGCCATTGCTTTTCCTGTAATTTTGCAATACCTGCATATATATTTTTGATAATACGACGGATTATAAGAATCTATACACATCGTATAAATACAGCGAACGATGTGAATGAAAGAACCAGACTAGCGTGTGCGCGGCTTTATATACCAGCATTTTCTTCTATTTTTCTCGTCGTGTTTGATCGGATTTACTTTCGATGCGCTTTGGTCCCGCGTTTCCAAACACTCATCAAAATGGAAACGATTTCGGGCGAAATCTAACCGGCGAATCGTAGCCTTTAACGAGCACTTTGCGGAGAAAAAAAAAAGCAGTTGCGAATCGGTCAGGCGGCAGATTTTTCAGAATTAAATCGGCGCACAGATATTGCGATCCTTTCATCCTGAATCCTACCATTTACGCGAGAAAGGGGACGTCATCAACGCCTTCCATATATTTTCCCTACTTCGACAACCTGTTGAGAAACCGATTTACTGGTACAGCATGATGTATCGTTATCGGCAAACGCAGCGTAGAATAGATGAAATCCGTGTTTAAAAATTTTTGTAATTCAATGTAATGGTTTAAGCATAGAGAATCGATTTTATATCGTCCGATTAATGTTTTCTGAAAATTTCGTGACATTTTAATATTTCGTAATTTTTAACCAACGCTCGAACACTTTGTTCACTATCGAATCAGTTTGATTTAAAAAAAGTAAATAAATATAAAGAGAAACGCACGTGTAATTATTAAAAGCTTGTAATTTTCGCATATTGCGCAAATAACACTGTTGTCGAAAGTAATTTTATTCTGTCGTTCAAAAACAATTTCGAAGTTCAAGTATTAATCGCAATTATAATGAAAAGAATTGAGAATTATAAATAATATATGTTATTTCTTATAATTAATTTATCGATTTTTCTTTCAATATTGTGGCTCACTTGCATAAGAGCCGTGTTTGCATCCAAAAAAGCGAAAAATCGCAGTTTTCGCCGGACGCTTTGATGGTGACGAGCGATGCGGAGAAAAACGAGGGCGAGGGTGCATAGAGGGAAAGCACCTGGAGTAAAGTCCAGAGGAATCAGGCTTTTTTTTTCAAGCGGCACCTCTCTCTCAAATTACTCGGAGATCAAAAAACCGACTCCACACGGCGGTCGAAGGAGGAGATAAAAAGGCGCCGCTCGCGTTCGCGGTGACGGTAAAAGAGCGAGCCGTAAGAAAGAGAGTCGCCCCCGAGAAAAAGAGGGAGGCAGACTTTTGCGCGCTCCCGCGAGATATGTGATTTAGATACGCGCTTTCAGAATCATGCTCCGACTACCTCTATTCCGGGGTCTCTAGATCTCAGAGAGAGGAAGATGTAAAGGACGGGAAAGAAGGGAAGAAAGAGAGAAAGAGGCCGAAGTGGCGAAGCGAACTTACGGGCGGTTTCTGGACGATAATATCTCTCGCTCTTTGCGCGTTCTTTCCGGCCACGCCTCGAGAGTTCGGTACCGAACCGATAATTGTCGGTCTCGTCGCCGTGTGGAAGCCGGGGATCTCTGGAAAGCGGCGACAGCCCGGAGAGAATCCCGGTATCGTTTTTCACGCGGAAATCTTCCGGAAAGCTCCCGCTCTCGCCGACGAGTAGTCGATCGCTCGCCCGCCGCGCCGTCAGGTCTCTTTCCTCGCTTCTTCTTCTCCTCTACGTTCATCCGTCTTCCTCCGACCGACCTTTTCCGTCCGTCGCTGAATGTCTGGGGGAGGTGAAGGGGTCTCTCCCAATGGCGCTTTAAGGAGCGCTCTGGGAAGCGTCTTTACGACGCCAGGCCGGCGGACGCTGCGCTCGAAACATTTTTGCGGCGAATAAACGCCCGCCGTCCGACGATATCTTTGGAACCTACATGCTCCGGATCTATCGGATGTCTTTCAACCGCCCGATCCTTTGACGAATTTTATAGGTCAGCGTTTTCTTAACGGGAATTTGTATATCGAGATAGTTGCCCGTATGTGTCACGTACAAAGTAAAAATTCTCCGGATCTAGAAGAAAAGCGTTTTTATATCGAAATCAATTTTTCTACCTCATAGAGGAAGCTTTGTTTTCGTGACATTTTTTTTTTCGAGTTTTTTATGCCAATGTTTAGAATATTCCAAAACATCGAAAAATCATATTTTTTAGATATGTCTGTATGTATGTATGTATGTATGTACGGAATGTATTGTACAACTTCTAACTTCCGCAATTTTTGAGATATCGGGTTAAATTTTTTTACATGGATAGAGTATTATTAAAGGATGGTTGGTATTGAATTTTGTGAGGATCGGTGAAAGGGTTTGTTTTCTATAAAATTTTGAATTTTTTGTGAAATATCTGTACACGCTCTAACTTTCGGAAATTTTGAGATATCGAGTTAATTTTTTTACATGAATAAAGTATTATTAAAAGATGGTATTGAATTTGGTGAGGATCGGTGAAAAGGTTCGTTTTTTATAAAATTTTGAATTTTTTGAGAAATGTATGTACACGCTCTAACTTTCGTAAATTTTGAGATATCGGGTTCATTGCCTGTCTTCTTTTCTCAAGTTTCCTCTGAGGAAGCCAAAATTGAGAAACTCGCTTGCTTTAAGGAAGCTAAGCTTTGTGAGTGAAATAAAATGATGAGGAAGCAAGTTTCTAATTAAATTTACACAATTTTCATCTTGTTCTTTTTGTTTTTTTATTGCATATTATACTGCATAACATGGCATGACTTTGCGGAGAACATTTTTAAAAATTTACGAAAGAGATGCGTTATAATTCGTATCGAAGGAAAAGGATAGATATCATTGTTTGAAAATTTAATTTTTTTTTAACGTAATTGTTTCTTTCTTTGAGTCTCTTTTCGAGAAGAAACAACTACTCTTTCTCTTTGCAGTTTTAACATTCCCGATAGATTCCCTTGTATCGAGAATATGCAGAGAACAGATACATAAAGATACAATCTTATTTGAATTTTGTCAAAGTCACGTTCTCTTTGCTGTACGTATTTCGATATGTATGTATACTCTTTCTTATTACAGTGAACACAGTATATAATCAAGCTAAAATATCAAAGCCAACAATTGTAAGCATGAGCAAAATTCAATCGACATAAATTTAATCTTTTTCTTGTTTTTAATTTCTCTCATACATTCTTCTTTTATCTTTTCAAGTGTAAATTTGTTTCAAAGATTTAAAACCTTTGCTATCCTTTTTTTTATCAGTTTCTGTCGTTTTCGACGTTCTTGTCAAAGAACAATTGTAACAAGTTTTAAATTATATGAAAACGATTTAAGGAAATAGTTAAATAAATAAACAGATAAATAGATAAATTATTAAAGTGTGCTTAAAGAGTTTATTAAATAAATAAATTAAATTAAATTTAGATAGAGCTGTAACATGATTTAATATTTAAGAAAAGTGCTTTTCATAATGTAATGAATTTATTATTACGTTAAAATTATTAAAAATAAGAGCCTGCTATATTTATCTATAGTGATTATATTCAACTTTCGTGGGAATGCGATGTATCCGATGTATCTCTTTCGTTCACTCTCCTATCGATTATCATGAACTCGTAGATGTGTTTCCATTAAAATTGCACGCTGCGAATAAAAATCCAACAGCGAAATGGAAATGGATATCGAAGTACGGCCTGCGGGCAATGGTCAGTAATCGCGGTTGCGTTTTTCGTGCGAAAATCACATGGCGATCGTCCGTCTGCGATCGCTGCAGAACGTTCGCTACCGCCCGCACGTTTTGTCTTTTTGTTCGCCGCTTTTTCTCGTACGTTTGCATTGGCCCGTTTCTTCAATAGCGCTTCCAGGAGTGCTATCGAAATCCTCTCTACGAGGCGGTGCTTTTGCAAATGGTTGATAATAGCCGAAAGAGTTGCTGCCAAATCGAGCATTAAGCCTTTAGCCGCGAGGTATTGTATTATATCAACACTATCAAGTTACCAGCATTATCACAACAACCAATGTTATCTTGCGGTTCGAAAGTACAGGGCCAGCAAATCAGTGATTATGTGACATTTTTCTCATTTGGAAAAATTTGCGCAAAATTATATTAACTTTAATATTATCGATATAGGTGGTGGAATTTATTAATTTATTTTTCCGAATGAAGCGAATAAAAGCGATAAAAGCAATTACAATGCGAATCCAACGACGATATCACTCGATTTTCCATCGATAACCATAGATGTTAAAAAGTTCTCATAGGATTTAAAAAACTAAAATATACATTTTGAAGAGACCCCTCGAGAATCGCTTTCTCAAACAATACGACTGTTAAGTGAACATCATTATGAGCTTTTCCATCAATTCTTTGTCTAGCGGATGGTTTTACCGTGCGGAGAATCGTTCTCGCAGAATAAAACTTTGAGATGTACATCAGGCTAAAGCTACGGCCGCGCTGAAAGCGAGTCTAGCGTGTAAAACGCCTGAAACTTCGAAAGCACGTTTAGCGCTCCGAGCGTCAAACTCAAATTCATTTAATTTTGTTGCTCCAGACAGTTTAAACATAGGAGCACGCGCACAGTGTCAGGCCGCAACCGTGCTTCACCATTATCTTGTAACACGCTTCGAAACGCTAAATGCGCTTTCGAAGTTTCAAATGCTTTACACGCTAGACTCGCGCTTTCTGCACTCGCGCAAGCTTTAAGAGCACACGATGTACAGATTTAAACGCTCTTAATGCCAGTTGAGTGCCATTGACAGTCTGTTAGTTTTGCATGCAAAGACTTTGTCAATATCGCGCTGCACTTTCACAGAGAATTTAAGAAAGATTAGAAAGTTCTTCTCAACAATTATTTCAATCTTAATTACTTGTATAATTAAACGAAAAAAAAAATTTATTCAAAATTATCTAGCAATTTATAGATGAGAAGTAGCTTACAGAACTTCGGGGCATCATGTAGTGACCGGCAATGCATAAATTTTACATAATACATATTATATAATTTTTTATATATAATTTCTATTAAAAAAATTAATTATTTTGGATATTATTTATATTTATAAACAAAAATAAAAAAATTATTTGAATTTCTGGCATTAAATTTTCTTTATTCTACAAATATTATTGAATAAATTTTAAAATAATATATGTATATATTTCATTAAATTTCCTTATATATGGTTTAATATTTATAAAATATATAATTTCTTTCCCTCCAAAAATAATATCATATTTCAAAAAATTTAATCTTATTATATACGATGTATTAATTGGTGAAGTGTAGATTGCACACGATATGTACTAAACGTACATTGCCGGTCAAGAATGCGTTTGAAATCCATCTTGTCGCTTAGGCGATTTCTTTACGAGCGGTTTTGCGAAGCTGACGCTCATTCGAAGCTATTGTTAGCCTCACTAATTTCAAGATGGACATATTTGTTTCGCTTGTTTCAGTGGAAGAGCTGGAATGCTTGGCCACCTGGAAGGAGGGTAGCAGCCGTTACTTGGTCGGCCGCCTGCATCACGGCCACGCGTCCAGCAACGAGGATCGATACCGATGCTTCGTGTACGAGAAGGCCGGCCAGACGGTGCAGGGTAACTTGAACAGGGCCGCCATGGGCATGGGTGCCATGGATCATGAGGTCGCTCTGCCGGGCGGACCGGTGCCCGAGGGCTCCGCCGAGGTATACCGGGTGGCACAGAGCGGCGACGCCACGTGCAACGGTCTATTCAGTCCCATGGAGGGCTCCCGGACGATGACGTTGAGGAAAGGTGAGTCCGATAATGTGTCTGTGTATCTATGTGTTTTAACTTCGTGACGATGAAGTTTTTATTCACATTTTTTTACAGCGTGATTGTTGAGTTATTTGTGTAGCATCCACATTGTCAAACTGACGATATTTTAATTTTTAATACTAGAACAACTATATATATTGGATTATTTTTTGCCTAATTTAGACATATTAACCCGATTGTTGTTTTCACGTTTATACATGACCCGATCAAATCGAGAAATGTTTGAGTTTGATATACAAAATAAATGTCCAGTCGTCGTTTATTTAAATAGTTTGTTACAAATTAATTTGGAATTATCGTTTTCCGATGTAGGTTATTTTTTAACTTAATTTGTTATTCTAGCTTGGACGCCTCGTTCAAGATAAATGTAATTTAGCACACGTCAATGAGATACGTCGGAAAAAGAAGTTATATATAATTAAGAATGTTAAAGCGTTTTATACAAGTTTTATCAAAAGACACGGTAGTGTCTTCTGAATTACGTCGATGTTAAATCAGGCATAAATCGATAACAAATGATGAATATGTAAAGAATCATTATATATTAAATGCCAATATTGGTTGTTGCTGCATAATTAATAATAATAATGGCTGCGTGTTTGAAGATTTTGCGTGGCGCAAGGTAGATATTTTTAGCAGGTGGAAAAGTTATGGCAGTTAAAAAATGTTTAATTATCATGAGATATCGCGTGATAATAAATCGTATCAGCGGATCGTGTCTCCCATCTCTAGTTGTACGATTCATCATCGTTAAAATTTTTTTCATTTGTACCGCTCTCGTGGATTTTAATTATTACAGTGTAAATACGTGCTTGACGAGGATTCCCATCGGGCCACGGACGTTTCAATTTATCGTTATTTTCTAGCTGGCCGGATTTTTGAAATTTTTTATGATTCGTACGAGTAGACGCGCAGCTTGTCCGCTGACGACGATGTTACATTTCTGATGCTGTTTGTATAACGCCGTATTCGCGTGCTACTCGTGGAAAACATCTTAAGTGGAATGTCGGCAAAACACACATATAGCCGCACTTAATTATTAAATTATAGCTGTGACAAAATGCGAGCTAAAATGCTACGAGTGTCATGTGCGGTAGCAGTATGTATATACTTTAAAAAAATTGCTAATCAACGTACGGATTTTTTTATTCCATGAATAAGAAGAGCGTGTTTGCACGACGTCTGGCAAAGAGTGAAAGGAGGGAGGAAACGTGAGGAACGGAAAGGGCGTCCTACCTTCTTTCCCTTTTGCACCGCGTGCACATTTCCGTCTTACTCGCTTTTCATCTCGTGGCTCGCAATCCCATTTCGCTCTCCGTTAATGGATTCATATATAATTACCGGGGCTTCACGCTCGCGCATTACGCTTGATAAATATCATCGCGAAAGGAAAGATATGAAATTCTCCGGGCAATGAAAGCGGGCTTTAATCGGAGTGCGCTACGGAGCCACGTCAATCGTAAGTAACCCACCTCTCCGCCTCCAACGTTTCGGCCGCGTGCGTTTTTCCGCATTTCCCCGATTTTCAGAACGCGGACTTTTCAGCTTGCACTGGAGGATAAATAACGTTGGATTAAACAACATCTCGTAATACTCGCGCTATCCCGTCGGCGTTCCGAAATCTCTTTTTAATCCGAAATGTATACACGGATATTTCGTAGCCGTAAACATCTCCCGTTTTCTTAATTTCATTGTTCGAATCCGGAAAAAAATCACGATAGGTATTCGGTATAATGAATGATTGTGACCTTTTCGCGATATTTGCCGAAATTATTCGAACGAGAAATAAAAGAGTTCAGTGATAAAAAGGATTCGTTACTATTGTCGCTTATATCGGATGGGTAATCATTAAAATAACATGATATAAAGCTTTCTGTTTTTTTCCGACTTCAAACATCCGAAAAGTTTTATATCACGTCACGTATGAAAAATAATTTATTACTTGATCAATAGTTTATTACCTAAATATTCGGGAACAAAATTAAAAAATAGAATAATAGGATATCCGGGACGATAAAATACGAAATAGCGATGATAAATTGCAAAATGAACCTTTTTATTACTCTCTTCGGACTTATATGTGTATCGGGAACAAATTGTTCTTAGTGAGACAAAACTATACTTTTCGCAAGCACGCATTAATCGAACGAATCTTAACGCGCGCGCCGGCTTCGCTCTCTGCGAATAAAAAGCGAATATTTACACGACTTTTCCGTGCTCGCGTATTCTCTTTCTTACATCTTAACCCCCTCTCCCTCCTCTCCTCCCCCCCCCTCCTGGAGCTTGACGTGCTCTGTCTCTTACTGCCGTACCGTCTCTCGAGTTTGCAAACCCGTATCTTGCTCTGCACAGTTTCACGACAAACTTCGTTAACGGATTTCACTCCGGTGGATTTTCACGATCTTCTCCTCCGGCGCATTCGTCCTCCCCCTCTTTGCAGCGCGCTCATCGCGCGCCTCTCCAATTGCCACTTCCTTCGGCAAATCGTTTTAAGTCGAGTGGGAGTCACCGACACGCGCATAAAACTCGCTGAGGAAAAGAAGAGAGAAGGAGCGAAGGGTGAGGGTGAGGGTGAGGAGGAAGGGGAAGGGAGGGTCTTAAGAACCGGAGACACAGAGACAAGTCTTGGAGGATGCTTGTTGTAAGCCTCGCCGTCGTTAATATTACAATCCGCGTTCTAGGAAAAAGCGCCAAGTAAAGGTGGAAGGGCGAAGAGATGCGAAAAAATATATTAACATCAAATCTTCGTTGGACCTTAGCTAGTTTTCCTTTTGTCCCATTTTGCCCAGTTCGCGTAGGTAGGTATATCATGCCCTCATCTTCCAGTACTCGCGCGAGCCCCTATTAACCGCAGCCTTGCAGTTGAGATCCGAAGTTTGTTCAATTAGCTCGGCATCTACCTCACCAGAGTAAATATCTGGGGAAAACTGCGAGACTGCATAGCGAGATACTCGCATGGAGCGCTTAGTTGGTGTGCGTTGCCAAACAGTTGGGCGAACGGAAGGACAAATTACACCAATTACTCGACCGTAAAATTTCGAGAACAACATTATTTCGAATTGTTATGGAGAGGAAATAATTCTATCGATTTTTCAAATCTTCCTCGGTAATCGGAGTTTTACAACAAGTTAAAAAGAATCGAAAATATATGTTGACTCTCTCATTTTTATTAACATTTAACAATTAGCGAAATATAATAATCGTTAAGACATAAGATATAAGATATAAGATAAATTAGACGATTAAGCAAGTATTAAAAGAATAATATGATTTTATAGTAACTGTAGATTAATTATACGAGATGAAAATATTGAAAGAAAAACAAGAAGAAAAGAAAAACAATGACGGCCAAATATCCGTGATACTTTTTTTAACTTTTAACGAAATAGATTGGAATATAAATTTTGAAAAAATCCTATACAAATAAAGAAATCGTTAAAAGAGAAATGAGCATAGAGATCGCTGAGATGTAAATGTTAACAGAGTAAAAAATTTCGAAAAGGTCAGGGGAGCAGATCGAAAGACACGTGTTATCCATTCGGTTTTACGATTATGCAATTTATATCCGCGCACTGTTCTATCCCGGATTATCAACGCAGCTGAATTGCTTTAACCCAATTTTGTTACACCTGCAAAAGAATATTGCAGGATAATACAAACGTCGAACGTTTGTCAAACGCGATTGCCAGTAACGGATATAAATGTAATATTCGTGCACATGTCGGAATCGACATAATTCCCCGCACGTGCATACGCATACGTCCACTCAATTATTAATTTCTATATAAATTCATAATCATGACATCACACGCATTTCACCGAATTACCGTCGCGTTATCTGCATTACAATTACTTGTAATTCCCTCAAAATTGCGCATGGTTTGACTCGAAGCAGTTAAATTCATTCAACGGTATGCGAAACCTCCCAATACGCCGACATATTTCAGTGTGCCAATTCTGGAAACTTGATTTTCGGAAAAACAGCATCAAATGTTGATAGTTTTAACATCGCCGCGACGTGGCCTTTTAAACAATTACGACCGTAGATTAAAACTATCGATCGAGATGGCACGTTCGATATGAAAATCACGAAATTGTACCTCGCGATTTTGTGGAGAAACGAGTTAGCCGAAAACGCGAAAACTGATAACGTCATTACAAAAAAGCAAGCTTCTAGAAAGCAGAAATAATAACGCGAATGTAGGGCATTATTATTGCGTCACAAATTTTGTTGTATCACGTTGTCAAAGGGACGTGCCATTTATATTTTATCGTTTTTTGCAATTAATGTAAAAAGAAGGAAACTGGAACAATATGCAATTTGTATTTGTAGTATAAATCATTTAGGAAATTTAAATGATGCCGTTTCACCGTGAAGATATAGGTCACCGATTCACGTGATATTACGTAATACGCGTATCTCTTTTGTGTATTTTTTTACGCGGTTTTGTTTGAAAATTTCACGTCACGTCTCACACATATGTTACTAAATAAATTACATACAAGAGAGAGATAATAATTCATACTCGATGAAAAAAAAAAAAAAAAAAAAAAAAAAAAAAAAAAAAAAAAAAAAAAAAAAAAAAAAAAAAAAAAAAAAAAAAAATAAATAAAAAAAAAAAAAAAAAAAAAAAAAAAAACAGATCAATCAAGAAATATCGATGAATAAAATAAAAAGTAGGAAATAAATCGTCGCAAATCTGACACATATTGATGGTAACCGTATATTTATCGGTCTAATTAATTTTAACGTAATGTTAAAAAAAAGAAGCCACGTGAGTGGCGAGATAACGACGCTGTTCCCGCTTTAAGGGACAAGTGAATGGACACCGTTCGACTTTTACGATGGCGAAATTTGTATCTCCGTCGTGTTGTATCGCGTTGTATGAACTTATCCGAGCGGATAGTTGAATTATTTTCATTCTTTTCGCCATGTGGGGTCCAACGATGCCTTTATGTGCCATAAAAGCCGCCGCGCGCTCGGTTAACCCTTCCGTCCTCGACCGTATCCTCTCGCCGTGGATATAACATTCGACGTGGATCGAACCCGCGCTCTCCTGACACTCCGATTTTACATGCCGCGAGCGGAAGTGGAACGTCCCGGCGAGTTGGTATGACTCGGGGAAGTGCATCGGTCGCATAGTGCATCGCGCTACACGCGGAAAGGGATGAAAGCGAAACGGAAGGGAAAAGGCTGGGAGAGACTAAGGGGGGAGAGATTGGTTGCATTCGGGGGTGACTATTTCGCGATTCTGTCTATATCGAGTATCGAGGTCGTCGCTTTATCGACTGTCATTTCGCGCGATACGAAGGACTTTACGGTTGGACGGCCGTGGAATTTTTGAGTACGAGCGTATCGCCCGGCCGGTACGACGTAACCACCACGTACATACGTTGCTGTCGTCGATCCTGCGGCATTTACGGGCAACAAACTCGTATATGTGGCGGGACGCGTAACGGTGACCTGGAGAATCATTCGTTTTACGATAGTTGAGGTTGCGAAGAGAGGTTCCAAAGGAGAAATCGCGAGAGGTCGGTCGCCAATTAACTAACGAGAAAATCTAAATGCAGTTTGTCTCGCGGTCTGAATAATTTGCACGTTTAAATATAAAAGAATCTTGTCAATAAAATACAAAGAAAAATGTTACAGATAGATATATTTGATCCTAAAATTTATTTCTTAGTATACATGTTCGTAAATCTTATCAAAAATAAAAATAATGTAAGCGTTTTGTATTAAAATATTTCAAAAATAAAAAGCCCTTCAGTTTGTTCTGTTTACTTGAAAAGAATATAACTTTAAAATGTGATACGATGATTGTTTCCCACTTTTAATTAGATACAAAGGCGCGTCATTAATACAATACGGTGTGTGTATTTCTGATTTTAGTCTCGTCTCCCGGCGAATGTCGGTTCCCGAATTGGCTGACCGGACACTCGAGTGGCGGACTGACTTGGCACACTCTGGATCTCGGCAGATCTTACACGTTTCATCCCCGAAACGCTTCCTTGCACGTCGCTCGACCGAACGCGACTTCGTCGAGCTCTGAGGGCGGGTCCATGGACTTACAATACGTGCCCGGACCGGAGGACCAGGACGTGAAGATCCTCTGCAACAGCATAAAGCAGTCGAACGGTGCGCAGACCATGACGATGACAATGTTGGTAGCACACTTCACTGTTGGCTGGTAAGATCGTCCTTCCATCTCGTTTACACACGACACTATTTTGTACAATATTAGAATATATCGACGAATGATTCATGTTTGAATTTTTTAAGCAGAAAGATAAAGAGACGCGTTTTATAGAGCTTATATATTTATAAATATTCAAAATTATTACTCAATCTTCGAAATACGCGTTATATAAAAAATTTGCGTCGCACGAAGAGCTGAATTAAAACCGTAAAAAATCGCATTGATATCTCTATAATTCTCTCTAATAATGAGAATTTCAACATATATCGCGTGTCTATTCGGATAATAACGAATGTGATTAAAGCGGTGGAATATGTCGCTCACCTTTATAAAATTTCGCGTTCTTTCTTTTTCCAGTCGGAGCGGTTTTATGTGCATGACATTCTACCGAAGAGACGGCCACGTGATCGAGCTGCAGACGGGAAGTGCAGTATCTAGACCGGAAGAAGCATGCAGCCCGCCCCATTTTCTGCAGCACAGTATGCCCTTCCTCACCTTAGTCAGTGAGTACAATTCTTTTTCATTCGATGTTGCTTGTGCTTTTCCATTTGTCTCGTCAACAAAGATCAGTCTCGTGTTACTGAGAAACGCCACGATGCTCCTTTTAACGTTTCAACGTAAATATATTGCGATCTCTTCTGTGATCTCGTGTCGAAATTGTCTCGACATAGAATTTTACCGAGCTTTCTTATAGAAAACGCTTGTGACTTTACATTATTATTATCTTTAATTTGTACAAAACGCACTTTTTGAATCAGTGCAAAAAGCCAAACATGATAAATGTAGTATCACACACATTTAGCATTAAGCACGATCGTGAATTCTACTTATCTCGTATAGAATTCGCTTTGCGATGTTATATCTAATCGAAGGACGGTCGCACAGCCCTGCAAGATACGAATACGAGGTCTGTGTTATCATTTTAAGTTATAGATAGGATATTAATGAAGCAATTGATAAGCTATATCGGATTAACATAACTGGCTAAACCTTATCGTCGTACGAGAAACCTCCGCTCGCGATATCGTATCGATCGCGAAGCTCTCTCGGCCGATCGGGCGACGCAACCGCTCGTTACGCTTGATTTGCGTGGCCGTTGGGTTTTATCCGATCCACGTAAAGACGAGCGAAGGCGGATCACACTGGGAGCAGGGAGAGGAACGAAAAAGGGATCGGATTGCGGATGGAAAAGGAGGAAGAGGGAGGAGAAAAAAAAAGAGAACTGCCAAGTAAAAACTACCCGCACCGCGCCGATAAAACCCGGGAAAACTCCAACTTTGGCGGGGAAAAAGTTTTCGCGCGGCGTGGCACGAGGATTTAGTGCACCGGCACTGGGAAGGCGGCTGGGAAAGAAGGAGCGAAGTGACGGGATGGGGGTTGGAAAAAAAAAAGGAAGAGCCGGGAACTGGTCGGTCTCGGACGATTTGTCAAAATCCCGCGAACGACTTATAAGTTACATCGTTCTATCGTAGGTGCTACCGTTGCTACTCGGCTGGAATCGGCTAAGTCGTTGTACGTTCGCTCACGCCGCTGTGTTCGTTGCTCGCGTGTTCGAGTTTGGGCGATTCGCCGCGAAGTGCCTCGAGAAATTCAATTTGCCGGGAACGTTTTGCGAGGCGCGTCACGGAAACCCGTTGAACCTGACAAGCTCGTGATTGAACAGCGTATTTTCTTATCATTTAGCGGAGGCGGTGGCTCGACCGTTTGTCCCTCGACCGCGCGACCCGATTGCTCGAGGGGGCAATCGTGTCCGATATATAAAAAGCGGCAGCAATTATTGCGATCGCCGCGGATTAATATTGGCTACGTGTCCGAGTAACGTATCGAGCTCGCGGAATTCTGTGTCTTCCTCTCTCTCTTTCTCTCTATTTCTCTGCTCCGCGCATGCTGAGCGTTGCCCGATCCACCCGTTATATCGGCTGATACAAATGCAGCCCGCACCGTTCTGTACATTCCGGTCGAGCTCGACAAAATATCGTCGTCTCTGCTGTTGTGCCGCGAAGAAGAAAGCTGCCAACCTTCTCTACTTTTCTCTTCCGGACGATCCACCTTTCTAAACTTACCCCTCCTTCCTCCCTCGCGAATGTCTCCACTTCACTCTTTCTATCTCACGTCTCGTACCCGCCATTTCTTCGGGATACGATCGGTTCCCGTGGGCCAGAGTTGTAATCCCACGGGAGTTATTGGATTCGGTTTGATCCACTGGTCGTACGTCCTCCCACCTCTTTCCATCGCCTCTCTCTGTCTTTTTAGATTCTTATTTTCCTCCTTCATCCCTCGATCCGCCGATTCGCGCGGAATGGAAAACTGCAATCCTCATTCGATAACCGAGAAAATCGTCTAAGATTCGGCGATGCTCGGAAATGAATTTGCCACCGATAACAAAATACGTTGCCGGTGTGACGATGACGATGTTAATATGTTATAAGATAGCAAAGTTTCATCGATAAGAATCTCGAAGAATGATCAGTAGAAAAATTTACTTACAATTTCGCGATGATGCGAAGGTGTAACGGGATATAAATTATCGTCGGAAAGTTAATACCGTGCATCAAACTTATTAGATTTTGAGATAATTATAACGATAATTAATGAACTGTAATACTCGGCTATATACAAGAACACATATAAAAAACAAATAGAATCATTTTAATTATCGAATAATGTAACTGATATTTTTGTGATTAATAACAAAACATAGATTTAATATTAATTTTGCGCGCTAAAATTTGTTTCTGTTGAAAAACACAAATAGTACAATTAATTATCTTGCCTTTTTATTAAATTCATATCCATATACATCAATTTTCAATAAAGCGTCAAAATTGCTTGACGATTTGCTTTGCGAAAACGTATCCGTTTGAGATCGCCGAAAATTTATTATAATGCCGTTTGACGAAAGCTTACGATGAATTATTTTTTAAATTAAAGAATGTGTGATGCGTTCGACTTGACTTGCCTACCTACCATCTTACCACCCACGAGAGTATCTTTCTGGTGGTTCTTTCATAATTCAAGGGAAATATTGACTTCGATTTAATTCACTGCTCGTTCGCAGTTATCTCTCGTGGTTATCCTTCTCGGGATGGGAAAAAGCATCGAAAAGCTCAATCCGCCGCTTCGCAAGAAGCAAGGAGCTATTCTCCGGACTGAGTCACGTACGGATCTCTGGGGAGCCGGGTACGAACGAAGGATAGTATTTATCATTCCACGCACGCGGTGTACGAAATTTACAATTCAAATGTAAAAAGAAGCAGCCTCTAGAGTTTCGTATTAAAGATTGCAATCGCAATCGCATAAACAATGACGCGGCGTAATATCGCGATAATACATATAAACAATAACCTTAGTGCAAGACACCAGGATATCATCTCTAAATTGTATGTATAATGTAAGAAAATTTTGAACGTAGAATTAATGCAGATGTAAAACATTCATTGCAGATTTAATGCATTCGTAAAACGACATTTGAAAATCCATTTTGGACGTATTTGCGAAAGAAAGAAATACGCGTTATATCAACATTTATTACTGAATTACAATCATAAAACACATTTTAGGAACAATATAACTTTTTTTTTTCCATTTCTGATGAAAACCAGAGTAAATTGTGCAATACAAAAGTGCCAACAATAACAATTGGTTTCCTGTTGCATAACCAATTAATTCTATATATGCTCTCGGTGAATTTGCTCCGTTTTATTATTCAGCAGTGAATGAATGGCGAGTGATCAGTGTATAAAAATTCATTTCGACCCTCTCACCATACCAGTCAATATACGGAACGATTGATCATTCATTCACGGACGAAAGCTCTCTATCTTCCTCTCTCTTTCTCTTTTTCTCTCCCGGATCCGGCCAAAGCTCTACCATCTCGCCTTCATAAGCTACATAATGTCCGATGCTGCAATAAAGTAGATCGTCTACGAGCTATCCATCTCTTTTCTTACTTTGCAAGATTCTCATTCTGTCTCCCTCCTCTCTCTCTCTCTCTCTCTCTCTCTCTCTTTCTCTCTCTCTCTCTCTCTTTCTTTCTTTCTTTCTTTCTTTCTCTTTCCGTACTCCAAACGGGCTCTCCTCTAAGCTTTTATGACCATTCACGGGGAGAATGGAGAACGACGAGGATGATGATAGAGAACGACGGCGACGACATTGGTATTCCGTTGACGTCCGCGAATTACACCCCGAAGATAGACTTGCCGGTGGCGCACATCGAGAAATTTCCACGGGGTACTAGAAACTTATGGGAGAGGGTAGCAACGAAGAGCCACGGATTGCGAGTCGGATAAACGCTAATGATACAAACTGCTAAATGATGAGAAAATTCGATTGATCAGAAGTGAAAAAATTTCGATATTCGAAATAGACTTTTGTAAATTAGAGACTGTTCTAAATTATTATAATACTGACAATTTATTTTTACAGGAATATATAAAAATCTGGAATTATTTTTTGATAAATATTTTTATAATCTGAAAAGCTGAAATTGCAAATAAGGTGGCGGTAAAGCCGCAGCGGTTAGCTCTGTGTTAATCAAAATCGGAAAAACAGTGAGTTATATTATTTTTTGAAAATATGTTTGAAATAATTTTTATGTGTTGTGTCATACAATAATTGCTTTTGATACAATGCTAGAATAGAGATATATTTGTTGTTTTTTTTTTCTTAATGTATCATAGAGATTGATTATACATCTCTGCATGAGGACGTTCGCTCGACACTTAGTTAAGTATTCCATAACATGCAAGACACGTATAATCTTTAATCCTCGCCGATGGAATGATGGAATAAATTGCGTCGACTAAACAAGGATAAAAGCTACGATTATGGTTACGCCTTAAGATTCCAACGGCGAATAGAAATTTCGATTCCGTAGTAAATGACCGGGCGAACCAGGGTCGCGAACTGGGTTAGCGAAACCGCTGTAACGGATTATGTAAGCGTACCTGAGACACCGGCCATAACGAGCTGGAATCCCCGAGCAATTAAGCCACCAGCACGCCAGGCGTTTCTCCGGCTCGTCTTCTTCCGCCGCAACATTGCCCAGCCAGGTTACCAATGAGCTTCCTGTTTAGTAAATAAATAACACAGACTATAATGCAATGAACCTGAATGTGAAGTTAATGGGTTGAAGTAAATTAATTCTGCCTGAACTATTCCTGGATTTTTTGCCCGTACACACTTGACAATACGTTTACCACATTTTATAACTTACGTTTACTAAATTTATCTCGCTCTTAAAACATAAAAGAATAATATAAAGTATATATGCAAGTACATCTCGTTATAAAATAAAATAAAAAAAAATGTTATATCTGATAGAAATGAAAAGGAATAAGTAAATACGTAGATACGTTATACTGATACGTATAATGAGCAAATAATATATACGTTGACAGATATTTTTTCTCTTCGTATAATTTTTGATTGACATTAGTAAGGCATACAACGATGAGATAATGATCGCTTATATTTCTAGCGTCGTAAAAAAATTCCGCTTGCT